CTCTCACGGGTTTTTCAGCCAGACCAGAATGCCTTGAGGGCAGATTCTGAGGTCAGACACACCTAAAACTTAAGGACACACAAGTAAACTCGAGGAATGAAAAGGACACATCTGACAAACACCAAGGAAAAAAATAAAACTTAAATATTTTATCAGATAACATAACAAGTATTACCATATGCTGATAATAACTGTAGTTTACCAACAAGTTTTTAATATTATATACTTTCTAATAGCACCAAAATAGATGAAGGAGACAGAACAGATTGATAAATCCATTGACATACTCGGAGTTTCAGCTACAAATAGCAAAGATAGAATATCTGAGCAGTATTAATAAACTTAATAGACATTTATAGATTCTGAGTTCACAAATTAGAGAATATGAATTGTGTCAAACACAGAATGTGACAAATTATTCATGTTTTAGGACAAGGTTCTACAAACCTTTTCTATAAAGGGGCAGATAGGAAGTATTTTAGGTTTTGTGTACTAGGAGCTGAAATCAAGGACATTTTGTGTGTATTATATAACAGGAAGGAAAATAAATTCCAAAAAATTGGTACAAAATTTAAAATTGTTAAGGCACTAAAATTTGAATTTTATATGATTTCAAAAATAATGAAACATTCTTCCTTTCTTCAGCCATTTGGAAACACGCTTTTGTGGGCAACACAGAAATCAGTGACAGGCTAGAGCCATCCTTCAGCCCAGAGCCTGGCAGTGCCTAGTGAGGGCATAAATGAAAACCTCAGCAGATTTCTAGTGGTGACTGTCTTACAGGCCATGATGTTTGAACACAGTACAACTGGGCTGTAAGTTAGTAGCAAAAAGATGAATGGAAGAAATTCCAGCATGCCTGGGGCTTCTTAAATGTGTCATTAAATAGCTCGTGTGTTGAAGATTATATCTACTGGGCACGTATGCAGTGCCAGCTCTGGTGGGGAGGATGTTCCGTATCAGAATCTGTAAGACGTGACCTGGCGTGAGAGGGATGTGTAGCCAGTGCATTCCTCGTTTCACCGCCCAGCGCTCTGCTGTCCTTCACATGTAGTGCGTCTTCTCCAGACTGGAGGTTTGTGTCTGGCGAGTTCCGACAGCGTGTCCACGTGTGCTCATTCCGAGTGTCGGATTTTGGTAATTACTGCGCTACTTGAGACTCAGTGCTTCCGTCTCTGTCAGGCGCCTGTGCTCAGAGATCTTTACTGTTACTGCTGTTTTTAGTTCGTTTTGAGGGGCTGTGAACCACACCCACATGAGGCAGCATGTTAATGGATGTGTTCCTGCGCTCCACCAACCTGCTGTTCCCTGTCTCTCTCCCATTCCTCAGACCCCTCTGTTCCCTGAAACACAATCCTATTAAAAGTAGGCCAACTAGTATACCCGCAGTGGCCTCTGAGTGTTCATATAAAAGGAAGAGTTACTTGTTTCTCACTTTAAATCAAAAGCTAGAAATGATCGCATTTAGTGCAGAAGGCATTTAGAAAGGTGAGAGGCTGGCGCCGCCGCTCACTAGGCTAATCCTCTGCCTGCGGCGCCGGCACCCCGGGTTCTCTCCCGGTTGCCCCTCTTCCAGTCCAGCTCTCTGCTGTGGCCCGGGAGTGCAGTGGAGGATGGCCCAAGTGTTTGGGCCCTGCACCCACATGGGAGACCAGGAGAAGCACCTGGCTCCTGCCTTCGGATTGGCGCAGCGCACCGGCTGTGGCGGCCATTTGAGGGGTGAACCAATGAAGGAAGACCTTTCTCTCTGTCTCCCTCTCTCACTCTCTAACTCTGCCTGTAGAAAAGAAAGGAAGGAAGGAAGGAAGGAAGGAAGGAAGGAAGGAGGGAGGGAGGGAGGGAGGGAGGGAGGGAAGGAAGGAAGGAAGGAAGGAAGGAAGGAAGGAAGGAAGGAAGGAAGGAAGGAAGGGGAAGGAAAGGAAGAAAGAAAAGAAAGAGGAGGGGAGGGGAGGGGAGGGGAGAGGAGAGGAGAGGAGAGAAAGGTGAGAGAGGCCCCCAAACCCTCTTGGTGCAGGTAGTTATGTGGATTTGTGAAGAGGTCTGTGAGGGAACGCCAAGAAACATTTCCAATGATAAGAAAGCACATTGCTGATAGGGAGAAAGCTTGAGTGGTCCAGACGGAGGATCGAGCCAGCCACAGTGCTCCCCAGGACAAATCCTAACCCAGAGCACGGCCCTAACAGTGTTCACAGCCCCAACTGCCCGCAGTTCTCTGAAGGGTGAGAGAGGTGAGGAGGCTGCAGAAGAGAAGTTTGAAGCTGGCGGAGGGGGGTTCATGAGACGTGAGGAGACAGCCCGTCTCTACGCCATAAAAGAGAAGGTGAGACAGCAGGCGCTGACGGCAGCTGCAGCAAGTTGCCTCGAAGGCCTAGCTGAGGTCACTGATGGACGAAGTTACCACAAAGAGCAGATGCCCAGTGTGGGAGACCAGCCTTCTACAAGGAGGAGGCCATGCAGGACTCCCCGAGCTGCAGAGGGACGCCGCTGCCCGGCAGAGGACAGGCGCAATCCTAGGGCTGCTCTGCCTGTCCTCCACAGACGGAACAGTGCCTGAATGACAGCGGTGTTCACGAAGGTGTTTACTACTTTTACTGTTGAGAACGCGGCTCAGAATCCAAGATTCTTTGCTTCTCACTCGCCATGCACCTGATCACCAAGCGCTCTGATAGAGATGTGCAAGGTTCATGTTGTTTTTGTGCCTGCTAACACGACATCTCTTCTGCAGCCCATGGATCAAGGAATCATTTCTTCTTCAAGGTCCTGTTATTTAAGCAATATATTATAGCTGCTAGAGATAATGATAGCTCTGATGGATCTGAGCAAAGAACATTGAAAACCTTCTGGAAAGGATTCGCCAGTCTAGATGCCATTAAGCACATTCCATGGAGGAGGTTGAAATAACACCAGGCAGGCATTGTGGCACAGCAGGTTAAGCCACCACCTGGGACTCGGGCATCCCATTCCACAGTGCCCCGGTTCACGCCTGTCTCTGTTTCATTCCAGCTTCTTGGGAATGACAGCCTGGGAGGCAGCAGATGATGGCCCAAGTCCTTTGGTCCCTGCCACCTACATAGGAGATCCAGGTGGAGCTGCTGTCTCCTGGCTTTAGCCTGGCTCAGACCTGGCTGTTTAGGGCATTTAGAGAGTGAACACGCAGTTGACAGTGCTCTCCTGAGCCTTCTCTATCTGTCTCATCCCTCCCCCTTGTTGTTGTTCTGCCTTTCAAACAAACAAATATTTTTGAAGATTTATTTGTTTACTCAAAAGGCAGAGTGGGGTTGGGGAGAGAGGGAGAGAAAGACACAGAGAGAGAGAGAGACCTTCTATCTGCTGGTTCACTTCCCAAATAGCCACAAGGGCTGGAGCTGGGCCAATCTGAAGCCAGAAACCAGGAGCTTCTTCCAGGTCTCCCGTGTGGGTGGCAGGGAGCCAAGGACTTGGGCCATCTGCTGCTGCTTTCCTAGGTACATTAGCAGGGAGCTGGATCAGATGTGGAGCAGCTGGGACTCAAACCAGTGCCCATATGGCATGCTGGCATCACAGGTAGGGGCTTTACCTGCTATACCTCAGTGCCAGCCCCAACAAATATTTTTTGAAAGTCATGGTTAACGGGAGTTTGGAAGAAGTTGATTCCAACTGTGGTGGGTAACTGTGAGGGTCTCACGATTTCAGTGGCAACAGTAGCTTCAGATGTGTGGGGAGCAACTCGGACTATACTGTTACTGGAATTAAGACTTATTCTATGCACCTGCTCTCCCACAATATGGCGCTGGGAGAGGAGGAAACAGCTTCTACACAGCTGCCTCCAGTTCAGCCAATAAACTGTAGGACTTGCTCCTGATTGGAGGAGAGCAGCGTACTCGGCGTGTGGGCAGCCGAGTTGGGATTGGTGGAAGAGGACTATAAAGGAGGAGAGAGACGGCATGCACCAGGAACATCTAAGGGGAACACCTAAGGGGAACACCTGTGCAGCCCCCGAGAGAGCCGGCCGGCGGTGTGCCGCTCCCCCGCGGAAGTGGGGAATGTGGCCAGGGGGAACCGCCCTTCCACGGAGGTGGAAGGGACAGTAGCCAACCCGGGAAGAACCAGCAGCAAACCTGGGGAGGGCCGAGCAGACGAAAGAACAGCGCAGGGTCCTGTGTCGTTCCTCCACGAAGAGGGGGAGCGACAAGATGTAGTGGAAAAAACAAGAGAATGAAAAGTGGAGCCTGATGATGCACTGAACGGGCGTCGTCTCAGGACACAGGTTTAACAGACGAGCCAAGAGGGTGGTTTCTTGAGACGGCGTCTACCCCTAGGGAGGATGCTGGGAACGGGGCTGAGATGGCGGCAGTAGCATAAACTCAGTAGCATAAACTCAGTTGATAGGTCAGCAGCAGAGTCTGAGGGGGCTGACTCTGATTTTGAAATAAGTTCTACTGGGGGGCAAAATGTGATCACAGCAGCATCACGTACATTGGGAACTGTTTCACAAATGCATCAGTCAGTGCAGCAAACTTGATATGAGCCTTAATTCACGTACACAGAGCGTGTAGAAGAGTGCTGCTCCATGCACTGTATTTCGTTTCAGTCATGTTTGTCATGGCTTTTCAAGTGTCTTTCAAATTATTCACATTTTCAAAATATGTATTTATTCATTATAAAGGTAGACAAACAGGTTCAATCCCCAAATGCCAACAATAGCCAGGGCTGGTCTGGGCCAAAACTGGGAGCTAAGAATTTGATACAGGTCTCCCGTGTGGGTAACAGGGGCCCAGCTATTGGAGCCATCACCTGCTGCATCCCAGGAAGCTGGAAGTGGGAGCAGATCCGGGACTGGAGGCTCAGCACTCCGAAATGACATGCTGGGTTTTCCAGTAGGAGCTTGACTGCTGCACCAGAGGTCTGCCCTACGGCCACCTTAATTGTAGGCTGAGTGCTAGGACAGTGAGTTTATGTGAGCTTCAGTAAAAGTGGTTTCCCTTTCAAATTGGCCTCTCTTCTCTGTGTGTGTCTCAAAGGTGAGTGACTTCACGTGGAGCCACGATGGGACTCAAGCACTTATATCGTATCGCGATGGGTTTGTCCTGGTCGGTTCTGTCAGTGGACAAAGACACTGGTCATCTGAGATCAACTTGGAAAGTCAGATCACGTGTGGCATTTGGACTCCTGATGACCAACAGGTAATGCCTCTGGGATGGGTGAGTAACGTTGAAAGCAGAGGAGCTGAGAAGGAAGGAGGAGGTGGGAGCAGGGGGCGGCATGAAAGCAGCTTAGAGAATCAGAGGAAAAGAACAACGGAAGTGTCCAGATAAAAGTTACACAGAAGGTTAAATGAACCACGGATTAGAGAAGTAATATTTTCCACCAGTGTTGTTAACATTGAATTTGCATTTTAATTATATAAAATGTTTATACAAATTTATTTTAAATCTATGTAAATAACCAACCAGTAAATGAGTAATGAATATAAATACGTAATTGAAGACAGAGTTTACCTGGCAATAATAATCAAGGGAAATGCAAGGCTGAAGGAATATTTTTCACATTAACAAAAGTAATACTGATGACTTTATTGATCATGAAATACAAATCAGCATTCTGATTTATTGTTGCTAACAGTGTAATCAGTAGAGCTTTGTGGGAGTGATTTGGCAGAGTACATCAAAAGTCTTAGACATTGTTACCCCTTTTGTCCTGATAGTAGGCATTTTTTTAAAAAATATTTTGTGTATTTGAGAGGTAGAGTCAGAGAGAAGAGACAGAGAGAAAGATCCTCCATCTGCTGGTTCACTCCCCAAATGGCCTCAACAGCGGAGATGGGTGATCCAAAGCAAGGAGCCAGGAGCTTTTTCCCTATTTCCCACGTGGGTGCAGGGCCCCAAGGACTTGGGCCATCTTCTGCTTTCCCAAGCCATAACAGAGAGCTGGATGGGGAGAGGAGCAGCCGGGACTAGAACCAGTGCCCATAGGGATGCTGTCGCCGCAGGCAGAGGCTTAGCCTACTGTGTGGCACACTCTTAAGTGCCAGCCAAAAGAAACAAAGTAGAGGAAGGAAGAGTTGTAGTCATTAAAGCTTTGTATATGATAGTATAAATGGTCAGCAACCTACTTCTTTATGAATAGAAGGTTAAGTAAACTGTGGTATAACCTCTTAAAATTATGTAGTGTTCAGTAAGTTATAGACTGTGATCTGAAGATGATGTAGAATATGAAAGAAGTCTTATGATGTTGTAAAAAAAAAAAGTGTACAAAATGTTACATGTGGTATGTTGCCACATTGTGAAACAACTGAAGAGATCCATCCATACAGGAAAAAGAAATAGAAGGAAAGAAATCAAAATGCCACAAGTAGTTATTTTATGATGGACCTCTGGTTCATTCTTCAAAAATGAGTTTGGTTGTCTTGCTTTTTATTTATTTCTATTTATTTGAAAGGCAGAACGACAGAGAGAGATCTTCTCTTCACTGGTTCACTTCCCAAGTGCCTGCAACACTTGGCCAGGAGCCTGGAACTCCGTCCTGGTCTCCCACGTGGGTGGCAGGAACCAAGCGCTTGGCTGTCGCTGCTGCCCGCCAGGAACGTTGGCAGGAAGCTGACTCAGAAGCACAATGACGTCCCCAAGGGTGGCTTAACCCGCCGCGCCACAGCTGCTGCTGGCTCATTTCTTTAAGTGTTATTTCAACATTTTCTTTAATTTACCTGTTGATTTTCATGATCAAATATAAAATAACTGGGGCCGGCACTGTGGCATAGTGGGTAAAGCTGCTGCCTGCAGTGTTGGCATCCCATATGGGTGCCGGTTATTGGGGCCATCTGGAGGGCGAACCAGCAGATGGAAGACTTCTCTCTCTCTCTCTCTGCCTCTGCCTCTCTGTAACTCTACCTTTCAAATAAATAAATCTTTAAAAATATATAAAATAACCTAATAAAATTATGTATCACTATTTTTAAATATAATCGTTGACTAATTAAAACCTTTGTAAATATGAAACTTGTGTTTTCCAAGTATAGCAGACTCCATAAAATGTCAGAACATTTCATATAAGATTCAAGTTTAATATTGGTAATAGGATAAATGTTCTTTTGGGGCCTGTGTTTTTTCTCAGTGAATTCCTCCAGTCACTGTATATTTACATCATGTTTGCATTTTCTTCAAGTAGACAGGCAATTTTTTTCCTCTTGAAATTAGAATTATGAGATTCATGAAAAGACTTTCCATTCTTTCCTCACTTTTCTAGTTATGCATCAGCATTTTGGCGTATTTATTTCACTTCTTTTTAGGTTTTTACTACCCCTAGACTCTTATTAAGGAGAAGCTGACTGTGTGACCTTGCGTGAGGCACCTAACCTCTCTGGCTTCAGCTCACTCCTCTGTGACAGGCCGGGGATTATTTCCTGCCTGATTCCCCGGGCTTTGGTAGTGATCCGACAAAGGAACAGAAGTGAAAACACTTAAAAATGTAAGGGAAAGTCCTGGCTTAAAGTGCGCCTTCCCTTGCCCAGAGGGATGGACCTGGGGCACTAGCCGTGACGAGCTGTGTCAGCCGTGTCCTTAACAGACCGCACACCAGTGTTGTGACAGCCCAGGCCCCGGGGCTGCAGCAGTGAGACATGGCTCCTGCCTCTGAGGTGCTGCGGCCTGTGCCGGAGACAGACCTGGGAAGTGTGCACTGCTCTGTCACATGGAGGCTGCTGAGGAAGGCAGACGGACTCCGAGGGAGTGTGCACACGTTCTGCACAAGCGCGAGGCAGGATGCACCCCAGGGACTGGTTTGGTGCTGTTCTCACCAGCTGGTCGGAGTGGAGGTAGCTGGAGGAGTCAGTGGGGCCATGGCCATGGGAAGCTTTGAGGCCCTCTGTTGTACCTGGATTTGGCTGTGTAGACCACGGATGTGAGAGCCCCTGTAGCGCTCGATGGGGGTTCCTGGCCCATAGCCTCTGACCTGTGTCTGCTTTTGCTCATGGGTGGGATTTGGCTCCAGGAGAGTGCTCCAGTGTGTTTTCAGAAAAGATTTGTAAATCATGCAAGCATTCAGCATAGGGAGAAGACTGTGGGGTCCTCTGTCTATCCTGTTTGAAAGGTGACCTGGCAAAGTGATACTCCTCTTCTCTTGCTTGGTTTGAACATTGCTAATGCAGAGAGTGTGAAGACCACTGAGACAACCAGCCTGATGTGTGTAACTCACTGACCCGGCCCAGCAGCTGGAGTTGGCTGTGGAAAGCAGCACCAGCGTGGCTGGACAGGCGATGTCAGGCCATTCCCAGAGAGCCTTCCGCCCCTACGGTGGAGCTAAAACAGCTTCCAGAGAAAAGCCCCTCCGCACATCTTGAGATTTTCCGGATTGTAATGCAGTTCCATGGCACTTGCGATCCATCTTTAAAAAATACAAGCAGTACGGATTTTGCAAGCATCCAGTTTTAATTTCTAGCTATTTTTCCATTTGTCATCTGTTTTCCTCACTACAGAGCAACAGCTTATATAGGCTTTGGGGGCTTATAGACTTCTTTGAATGACTGTCAGGTGGAGATTGTGAATCCTTTTCTGGAAAAATGTGCACATGTGATGTATGATTATGTGTCTCTTTCCATCCTTGAATTCCCCTTCAACCCTGAGCCAGATGGGTTAGAGGTGGTCTTCCATGAACTTCCTGATGCTCCCTCATACGTTCAGACGCACAATAAAGGTAAACAGATATTCCCTCCTTAAATTTGACAGCTAACATTTGGTCAGATGTGTGCTTTCATTTCTTCCTCTCTGACTTACTCCTGCATACACATATATTTGTAGTATTAGTTTTGAAAGGAAGTTGTAGACACCTGGCACATCAGCCTTAAATACTTTCAACGTATGTATCCCAAAAGGTCGTCACCCACACCAGTGATATTGTCTGGACCTGAGCTGTCTTCGTGTTTCTGTAGTTGTTAGAAAATGTGATTTATGTACGACTTCTCCCCGCCCTTTTACTTTTCAGGAGCAAGGGCCAGTTTACTCCAGCGGTTAGTGGTTGCATCTCCTAAGTCTGGAGCGGTTGTCCCTCTCTCCTTTTGTTCAGTAGTGGTTACCTCGTAGACTGTCTCGGTGTTTACCCGTAGTGTCATGTAGCTTCTGTGAGCCCTTAGGTTTCCTATAAACTAGAAGCTAAGTCTCAATTTGTGTTGGATTAAACATTTTGCCAAGAATACTCCATTGGTGATAGTGTTTTCTTTGCACTGAGCTACTCTAAAAGGCATATAATGTCACATTACTCCACTTGAAGATGCCTGAACTCAGTGGGGCTTTTGTGAAAAGAAAGTTGTCCCCTCCCCCCAGCAGCACATTCTTAATCGTTGCAGATGATATGCTTCACTTCAGGCTAAAATTCATCTTCCGCTAAACTTCAATAGGGAGTTTATATAAAGGACGGGGGGCTTACAGACTGGAAGCCCCAGATCAAAGTGTTGGCAGCTTTGGTTTCTGCAGAAGCCCCTCTTCTTGGCCTGCCCACAGCTGGCCGCCTTCTCGCTGTGTCTTTCCAGGGACTTTCCCTGTGTGGCTTCTTGGTATCCCTTACTCTTCTGATAAGGGCAGTGGTTATTTGGATTAGGGCCCCTAGGACCCTATTTTAGGACCTCAGTTAACCTTAATTACCTCTTCTCATATCACATCTCTAGATGCAGTCACACGGGGGGCTCGAAGCCAGGGGCCAGGAATTCCATCCTGGTCTCCCATGTGGCGCTTCGGCCGTCTTCTGTTGCTTGCACAGGTGCATCAGCAGGGAGCTGAATCAGAAGTGAAGCAGCTGGGGTTTGAACCAGCTCTCACGTGAGATGCCGGTATCACAGGCAGCGGCCCAACCCACTACACCACATGCTGGGCCCCCACATGTGAATTTTGGGAGCACGTAATTCAGCCCATAATAGATTGATTAAAAATATTTTGGAAAATAGAAAATTGACGGAGAAGCTGGTATGAACTCTGTTGGCTATATTTGCAATGCATTTATCAATGAAATTATTTATCAGGCTTGGGCAAAACAAAAAAAAGGAATGACATGAATAGAAAATGTCAAAAAAGAAATTTGTATCTGCCTTGAAAAGCTGTGGGTTCTGAGCTTGTGCGGGGTAACACAGCAGCCTGGGTCCTTGCAGTGCTGCACCTGGGAGACAGGGCTCCGAGTTCTCTGTTCGCCAGGACCCAGT